TCCCTTTGGAAAAACCGCAGCGCCCCATACAGAGTGGTTCGCGATGAGGACAGACTAGTACATCGGCCTTAATATTTCATTGTAATCTTCCTGCAAATGGTCTTAAAACATCTGTCCATGATCTCGACAGAAGTCTGAGATAGATCTAACTCCAAATTAAATCCTGGACCCACATTTGCTGTCCATGTCAAAACCTCCTGGCTATACTCTACCTCCACAACAGGTGAACAATATCCTCACAGCTTCTCTTAGGGCAAATTTGATTTTGAATCCAAAACTGGCCTCGGTCTTGTAGAACACTTTGCAAGGCACTGCTTGCTGGATGCCGAGCTAAGCTCGTTCATCTCTCAGCTTAGGAGACGCTGGCCATGTGAATTTGAAACCCCAGAGCCTTAGGGAACCCTCGGAGACGTGGGGCTTGGGCTTCCTTAGGAAAACCCGGGTCTGCCACCTAGTCTGAGTGGAGGGCAGGCACCCGGCAGGCTGCTCCTGCCCCGGCCTGAACGCGCGGGCCCCTCCGCCCAGGCGCATCGGCCTGTCCCCAGCGCAGACACTTGGGGGCTTCTTCCCCCCACCAGGCCTGTGGCCTGAGCCACGCGCCACCCGCGACCCAGGCGTCCCCCGGCGTAACCCCGGAGGTCTTCCCGAGCGCTCTGCCTCGGCAGCTGTGGGAAGAGGTGACTGTTCCAGTCAAAGCTGCAGGGTTCCCGTTCCCCGTCTGCAGGAGAAATTTAAAACCACAAAATACAAAACCGGTGAATATTTTTTTTTCTGACAATATTTATTTAAATACAAGAGTGAATTTTCATGTAACTCCGATCAGACTTCTTCAGTGTTCGCTCTGCAGGAATACTTGAGTACTTGAATCTCACAAGTTTTTGAATATTTACAGCGAGTGACTTTGGAGCTTGACAAACATTCACTGAAAGCATCTGGGTATTGAGCTGCCATTATTAGTTACATCCATTATTAGTTACAGGTGCCACCGAGGTACAGAGCAAAACCCGGCCCAGTGGGATTTAGTTTTCATGGGTATTCACAGTGTAACCTCTCCAAGCGACCTGACCACCACAGTGTATCACAAGAAAAAAAAATCTCCCCATCACCTTTAGACCTTAGGGCATTTGCCAGTTTTCCAGCCTGCTCCCAGATGCATTGCTAACGGCATAAACCAGATGAAATGCAGTGAATACACAATTCCTTGCACATTAGGATGTAGTACCAGTTGGATGTAAACTCTTGTGGAGTCACTGTGCAAGTTTCCACCCTCACCAAAGCAAGAGCAAAGCGTACGCTCACTGCTGGAACGAGCTGATGAAGGCTCCTGCTTGTGGTTGGATGTGGCTTCTCTCTTTTGTAAAAGGAATTTCATATGCTGAGACTCTTTGTACATATTTATAATGACTTTAATAAAAAAAAAAAAGAAAAACAACTGTTCAATGGCAATAAAAGGCTCCAGTTTTTATTTCCTCTCTGAAAGCTGAGAGAATAATTTCTTTCCACAACCCTAACTTTTCCCACGGAGACCCGCAGCAGTTTCTGCTCAGCTGTCATTAGAACCGAAGTCTCCCCTGTATGTTCTCCGGTCCCAGTGCCGCGTTCTAGGAGAGGGCAGCCTCCTCCTGCCTTGCAGCACCACCGCCATGCCCGAGGCGGGGGTCGGCAGACTGCGAGCAGCACAGCGCTGATTCTTCCACAGCCAGAACAGGGACTGAAGGGCGATGGTTGAATTTCACAGCTATATAATAGTGGCCTGCAGTAAAACTTGCTTTTCTTGCAGGAATTAAGGTGATCTCTGTTATGTTTCCAGTAGAATAAATACCCACAGCATAAACTTTCACCTTCTGTCAAGCACTAACCGGTTTTAACAGAAAAGTGAGGGCTGGATGGCCCAGAGTCTCGGGCACCCAGGCCCCCGCAGACACAGGCTCGTCCCGCAACGGCGGCCTCCCGTGCAGACCGCAGCGCCGCGCTTTGTCACGGAGCCACCCGCGTAGCGAC